GACTATAAACACAAATTTACAAAACTTCTAATCAAGTATCATCATGAAACAGCAGGACATGTTGGCCTAGAAACAGAAACAAATTTGAGAACAAAATTTTGGATTGTCAAAGTTCGACAAGCTGTCAAGAAATGTTTTCGACTTTGTCAGTTATGTAGAATTCGGAAGTGCAAGCCTACATAATCCTCAGATGGGTAATGTGCCAAGAGAACGTTTGGAAACTTACGTCTATCCCTTCACCTACGTCGGTGTAGATTTTTTTGGACCCTTAAACATATCCATCGGAAGAAGAGTTGAGAAGAGATATGGTGTCCTATTCACGTGTTTGTCGATACGAGCAGTTCATATCGAACTATCAGCAACTCTGGATACCATGCAGTTCAACTATATCAGCTATAAGACGATTCATGTGTAGGCGAAGCCAACCAAAGGAATTTATTTCCGATAATGGTACCAATTTTGTAGGAGCTGAAAGAGAGCTCAGAGAATGGATCGAATCTCTTGACCAGGAAGAAATAGTCAACTTCTTGAGTCTCAAACAGATTAAGTGGAAATTCAATCCAGCTCGAGCATCACATATGGGAGGAATATGGGAGCGGATGATACGGACTGTGAAGACCGCCCTCAAGATATCTTTAAAGTCGATCAATCCCAGAGGAGAAGTTTTGCATACACTATTAATTGAAATTGAATACATGATGAATTCAAGACCACTCACTCACATTTCGGTTGATCCAGTGGAACGAAAAGCTATAACACCCAATCATTTCCTATTGTTACGTCCTGGGGGAGTATCATCTTGTTCAATAGCTGATGACAGAGTTTCAAAGAAACAGTGGCGAATTGCTCAATCTTTAGCAGATTCGTTTTGGAAGCGATGGATACTGGAATACAGACCTACATTGATTCAGCGCTCGAAATGGCATGCTAAAAGTGAGGTTTTTAAAATCGGCGATATTGTCTTTATCGTTGATGAGAAAGTGCCAAGAAATGTCTGGCAGATTGGAAGAATAGAGCAAGTGTATCCTGGAAAGGATAATATCATTCGAGTCGTCGAGATCAGAACAAATCGAGGTGTTTATACAAGACCTGTCACGAAACTTTGCGTTCTACCTACATCTGAGCAATGATTAATGGTGAAGAGATGTCTTCAGGCGCCGGAGAATGTTGAATCCCAATTGATATTTTGTTTTTGTGTTTTGTTTCACTATGTATAAAAAAGTTGAATATGTTGATCTGACAAGATTTGTCAGTCGTATTTTTGTATAATCTGAATAAAGATAAACTTTCGAGACGTTTATTTGTGCTTTGAATCTCCGAAAGTTACAATGTCATCGACTGTTATATCCGGAGGGATATATATAGAGAATATATCCGTATCCCCTACTTTAACTCCCACTATATTTACCCTGTTTGGAATTTGAAAGTCGATGTCTATGTTATCAAATTTAATCGTTTCCTTTATCAATATACCTGTCCCTCCCTTTCGATCCTGTCTGTTATGTGAAATTGATTTGAATCCTTTTATTGACATGTTAAAATTTGGTTTTAACCAAATTTCGGATAAACACAATATCTGGTCTAATATTATCTATTAAATCTAATAGGTTTGATTTGTTGGCATTATAGCTTCTAATGTTCCAATTTATTAATTTTAATTCTGACATTCTCCAGTCTCCTCAATTAATTCAAAAAGCGGTGATGATGTAGAACTATGTGGTGGAATAAATTCCTTAATTAATTCAAGAAAAGTTGTGGCACTGCATGACAGGTGCATAATAATTCAGTGTTTCGAAACTGCATGAGTACATAAATACCTTATTTGGAATAAACTTTCCTCGAAATGTGACTAAAATAACTGGGATATCTTTATATTCAATTTCTCCATTGTTTCTTACTTTCTTTTTCAATCTTCTCACATGAATGATTCTTCTATTATCAATGGTCTTCATATTACTCTTTATTTCATCTTCAGAAAATATTGTGTCAATATCTTTGATAATAGTTTTTGATGTAATTAAATTGTTAGGTATTGTAGTTCGAAATTTATTAATTGATAGGAATTGGTTATCTTCAAGTAATTTATTTGCTTCCTCAATTTTTTTGAAAGTAATCATTGATCTATTTTCCCCCTTCTTCCAATTGAAGTTGGATTATATGAAGAGTTTGGATGAAAAATTTTTCCAACTGCCAAGTTAGAGAGATATCCAACATTTCCATCTGTAGATTCTAAATAAACTACTCAACACTAATTTCGTCGCACACCAAAATGTCGCCCCTGTTATAATGTGAATAACTTTTTTCAGTTCAGAACCATTTGAATTTGGTTTACACTGTTCGATAGCCCAGTCCTTCAGCTATAATCTCGTACTTCATTGAAACATGAGGGTATTCACATAAAATTTCTACATGGTGTTTTCCGACACTGTGCAAAATTTCGGAATATTCAAATGGCTCTCAAATAGTAAAAAAAAATGTTTTTCTCAACTTCGACAACAGAGGCATGAAGATGATCTCATTACCTCGAGATGTTTCGCAAATCAACTTCCTATCTCTCTTATTTACAGAGTGATCTCAAAAAATCAACTTTTTGGTTTTGCAGCCATAACTTTTTTCCACGTCAACCGATTTTAGAAATCTTAGGCTCATTTTGAAGATAAAACTTCAGATGAAGAGATCTGAATATCAGAATTGACTCAAGATGGCTATCAGAGATCTAGAGTTTCCTAGAAAGTGACCCAAATCTGGAACGCCCTCCGAATCTCGATTGGGAGGAGAATTGAATGAAAAACAATTCATTCTGGATGCGTCCATATTTTCCTCGCTCTCAGTAGACAAGAAAGTGCGTGAAAAAACACAATTGAAACATATTCTTGCAAAAACATCAGACCATTTCTCCTCTGTGAAGCATGGCCCGTAACCAACGTTACAAGAATCACAGTAAGTGGCTGACAAGTCAAGTAAGACGTCGTTTTCGAATCATAAACAGATTTCGATAGTTTCGATGCCGCATCTAACACGAATGTGGGTGACAACTTTGTTCTCGTTGATGACAATGCGAGACCGCATATGGTTGTTGGTACATCATTTATGATGAGCCTTAGCTGGTCGGGTTTGTCAGTCCATTGTGATTCTTGTAACGTTGGTTACGGGTCATGCATTACAGAGGAGAAATGGTCTGATGTTTTCGCAAGAACATGTTTCAATTGTGTTTTCTCACGCACAATTCTTGACTACTGAGAGCGAGGAAAATATATGGACGCATCCTGAATGAATTGTTTTTCCGAGAACAAGTTGATTTTCATTCAATTCTTCTCCCAACCGAGATTCGGAGGGCGTTCCAGATTTGGGTCACTTTCAAGAAAACCCTAGATCTCTGATAGCCATCTTGAATCAATCCTGATATTCAGATCTCTTCATCTGAAGTTTTATCTTCAAAATGAGCCTAAGATTTCTAAAATCGGTTGACGTGGAAAAAAGTTATGGCTGCAAAACCAAAAACTTGATTTTTTTAGATCACTCTGTAAATAAGAGAGATAGGAAGTTGATTCGCGAAATATCTCGAGGTAATGAGATCATCTTCATGCCTCTGTTGTCGAAGTTGAGAAAAAAAAATGTTTCACCAATTGAGAGCCTTTGGAATATTCCGAAATTTTGCACAGTGTCGGAATACACCATGTAGAGATTTTATGTGAATACCCTTATGTTTCAATGAAGTACGAGATTATAGCTGAAGGACTGGGCTATCGAACAGTGTGAACCAAATTCAAATTGTTCTAAACTGAAAAAATATTCACATTATAACAGGGGCGACATTTTGGTGTGCGACGAAATTAGTGTTGAGTAGTTTATATACTATATGGCCCATGGTCCAAATACTCAAATTTCATAATATCTATATTTTGAGAAGAAACATTCAGAAAGTTATCAGAGTCCCGCAAGTCATTCATAATATCCATATTTTCATTTTCATTTTGTTCCTTATCACTCAATTTAGATTTCTTTATCATGTTATTGTCATCTTTTTTGTGGATGTTTCTTTTTTCTGCTTCATTGTTTGCTTTTTTTATAACTAGATCGGCAAGAATGTTAACTCTCGGAGGCAATTTGACCTTCAGATCACTTCATTATTCAGCACATATCCATCTTTCAAGATTTCCCCACATTCCTGTACGAAATCCTGTTTAATAGTAATATCTGTAATTAATTCATTACATTTTTGCGGGTTATACTGACAGTTATTTGCAAAAATAAATAAGTTATTTACTGCCTCCTTCGTAGATGGAGATCTCTCTATCAGGTCTTTGAAAATCTTTGTGTCATGATCCAAAGTCAAATCACCTCCCCCCGGTCTCCCGGGGGAGTTATCCCCCATGTTATTGACTACTAATCAGTTTATTCACCAGATAATAATTGATAATATTGTCACGAAAGGACATTTTCCACATTATTCTCAATTATTACTACTACTATTATTATTATTTCACTGTTCTAATTTATCGAGTTTGTTATATTTCTCAGCAATTCAACTGTCCTCATTCGTGACAAAACATTTTTCAATAAAATAAACATTTGAGGTGATCGATCGGAATCCACGTACCAAGAGGGACTTGACTTTCGGTCCGAATAGCGGACGGTTGCTGTGGTGGCAACGGGGATGTCCCAATTGGAACATCCCCAAATTTTTGTGTTATATTATTGTAAGTACCATTTTTATTATTCATTGAATCTTCAACCTAATGCCTCTTCAAGGAATGTCAAAATTGTAATTCATCATTAATAAATCCATATTTGTTTTTTTTTGTTCAAACTTAAGTCCTTTTTATTGAGTATCAACCCTCAGCAAATCCCAACTAGCAAAGGCAATAAGTCACATTCGTGACAATATCTCAAATTCTATAGAATCAAAAATGTGAAGCGATGTTTCACTAAGTTAAATATCTTCCAAAGCTTTTCTAAAAAAGATCAGACAACCCAAACAACTACTACTATACACTTACTTGTTAATATCTACTTTTCTTAGGTTAGGATCAAGATAGGAACAGGTCAACGATGTGCACCTCTCAACGATCACCGCAAGAATCCCACAAAAAATTAAAGAGGGTTTTTTTTAGACACACATGTTATTCAGACATCAAAATATCTAAACCACAGAAAACTCATAAATTCCAATGGACTACTTCAACGACTAATAAGGCGATTTCGGAAACTTACTCTCGGTTGATAACTCGATCCAGATAGGTCACGTGACAAAAAACTCGGATCATCTACTCGTGTTCAACCAAGGCTATTTAACTCTATAAGGTTGCCTCCATATTCACCTGGCCTGACGTCAGTGTTACTAGCGTCTGCCGCAAGGAGGATTAACAAAAACAACGTAGTGGGAGAACCGAGCCAAGCGAGACGCGGACGCGGGCAAACATCACATCAACGTTGGAGCGAAGGAGCGAAACAGTAATGTAATATTATTATTGGTAGGTAAAAAGCCAATACCCTTAATTGGCGCCGAATTATGTATCAAGAGGAGGAGTGTATAGTCGTTTGACATACAACTATTATCAGAATACCTACTCATTTATGATATAGTTTGGTCAACGTGCGTTTCACACATAACTAAGTACCTATAAAAATGGAATTATCAAACTGTTGTGCAGAATGTACAAAAACGTTCAGCTGTTTTCAAAGTCTCAGAAGGCATTGTTTGAAGTCTCATCCAACTAAGATAGCCCCATCAAAAATAAGTGGGAAAGTGTACAAGTTTATTTGTGACAGATGCAGTTCGAAGTTCAATGTTGAGAAAAATTTTACGGCCCATAAAAAAAAATGTTGCAATTTACCTTCAAATAGTGCGGTGAAATCATCTGATTGCCCATTATGCAATCGAAAAATTATGAATGATCAATTCGAAAATCATTTGAAGAATTCGCATGACTTAACGTTGGTTAAGGAAAATGTTGAAATTCCATCTTATGAACAATTCATCGAATGGATGAGGTAAGTGGACACGGAATAATATTAGAAAAATGAATACAGGGTGAATCGGGTATATAGGTGCTTATTGTAACACGTTCATTCGTTAGGTATAGCTATAGGTATGTTCGGATAGTTTTTACAAGATCTAGCAGACTATATCTATAGATAGGTAGGTATGTAGGTATCGAAATCAAATGAATTAACATTATATTCCATGTACAGGGTGATTCACCATAAATGTCCCCCCCTCTAGCTCGGTTATTTTTGAACCGATCGCAAAATTTGAAGAATCATTTGATTAAGTTTTTTTCCGCTATATCAGAAAATACAGGGTGCTCGGAACAAACGATCGACAGGGTACAAGTTGATTTTTTTAAAAGGAACACCCTGTATTTCATTGCATTTTTAGATTATCCCTGAATAGCTGATTTCATCAATGCATCACACTTGGGGTCTAGCGGGAATGATTACAGAGATATAGGGTGTTCAAAAATCGAGATTTTTCAAATTTAAGTAGGATGTTTTTCTGTCGAAACTATTACTTATCGGTCAAAACGGCTTCCATGTTCCTTTGTTAACTTATGATTTACTATCTACTGACATTTAATAATTGGAACAAATACAGGGTGATCAGAATTCTGAATCTTGAACCACCCTGTATTGTTGTATTGTTGTTGTTGTCAGTAGATAGTAAATCAAAAGTTGGGATAGGGACATGTGAGTCGTTTTGACCAATAATGAATAGTTGACACACAAAAAAATCCTAAAATTTAAAAAATCTCGATTTTGAACACCATATATCTCGGTAATTATGAACGTTAGACCCCAAGTGTGATGCATTGTTGGAATCAGCTCTTCAGAGAGAATCTAAAAATGCAATGAAATACAGAGGGGGTGTTCCATTTGAAAAAATAAACTAGTACTCTGTAGATCGTTTGTTCCGAGCACCTTGTATGTTCTGGTGTGTCAGAAAAAAAATCTGAAGAAATCATTTCAGATGACTGTTGAAATTTCGAAATCGGTTCGAAAATAAATGAGCTAAAGGGGGGGGGCATTTATGGTGAATCACCCGGTACATCATATGGTTCAGTTTTGATTATGGAATTGAATATTCGAATACGGAGTTCTTAACTAACATGTAATCTACAGGGTGAGTCAATATAGTGCGTTCTCCTTCGATATTAGCCAAACCGTCAGATATATACATATTTGAAAAAATTCGAATACAGAATAGTAATAGTGTTTCATGATAACTTTCATCTTGAAATATTTTCATATCTATATACCGGGTAACACGGACTCATGGTATACCACTTTTTTCTCCTTTTGTTTTCTAGCTATATTTCTGAAATTTGAAACATCGAATATGCTCACTAGAGGGCTTTATCTCACATTTTAGGAAATTTTTTTCATCTTTCAATTCTCCTGGAAATGAGATCAACTTTCGATTTTCAAATGGAACACCCTGTATTTCATTCCATAATCGGTTAGAGATTGTTATAACGAATTCCACAATACCGGGTTTGATTGGGTTATTTCAAACAATTATGGAGTTATTCACGTTTGAAGTTTCCATAAGAGCAATGGTTGTGACGGCGCAATATGGAAACTTCTATCTTTGTCACACTCATTGAGCTTATGGGAATTTCGAACGCGAATATTTTCGTAATCGTTCGAAATAACCCAATCTTACCCGGTATTGTTGAATTCGTTATAATAATCGCTAACCGAATATGAAATGAAATACAGGCTGTTCCATTTGAAAATCGAAAGTTGATCTCATTTCCAGGAGAATTGAAATATGAAAAAAATTTCCTAAAATGTGAGATAAAGCCCTCTAGTGAGCATATTCGATGTTCCAAATTTCAGAAATATAGACAGAAAACCAAAGGAGAAAAGGTTAATTGGTACACCATATGTATCTGTGTCACGCGGTATAGGGTGTTCGAATTCCAAGATATTGGCTGATGATGTTTTTTTGTAATGGGACACCCTGTATATTATTGCATTTTTAGGTTCTCCCTGGAGAGCCGATTTCATCAATGCATCACCCTTGGAGACTAGCGGCATAGATTAAAAGGGAATGATTACAGATATATGAATAGGGGTGTTCAAAAACGAGATTTTTAAATTTTATGATTTTTTTAGTGCGAATAAAATATTCATTATTGGTTGAAACGGCTTACATGTTCCTATCTCAACTCTCGATTTACTATACATATATCTATCTATACTGACATGGTATGATCCGAATCTCGAATCAACTGTATTTGTTGCAATTAAATGTTAGTAGATAGAAAATCAAAAGTTAAGATAAGGACATGTAAGCCGTTTTGACCAATAATAAATAGTTTCGACAAAAAAAACAAAGTTGAAAAATCCCGATTTTGAACACCCTATTTATCTGTAATCATGTCCGCTAGACCCCAAGGCCCCCAAGTGTAATGTATCGATGAAATCAGCTCTTTTTAGGGGGAATCTAAAAATGCAATAAAGTACAGGGGTTTCCAATTTTGGATTTTCAAATGAAATAATACATTCTGTACATTATTCTATCACTGATTATGGGTTATACCATTACGATACCACAAATATACTGACAAAATATATCAACTTACTTGCCATTATCACTAGTCTTATTATTAGTAATTAATTAAAGAAAAAATTTATTCAAATATTCAGTTTCTCTATTCATGATGTGAACTTAAATGCTTAAAGAATAATATTGTATTTTATGAATACCTATGATAGGTATAGGAGGTATAGGTATCCCAATTTTATTTTTTCATTTTATGGCCTCAATCTCCAAATCCTCATATCAGTATTCAAAGTGTTAGTTTTGTGTTATTAGACTTTTAATAACATGTGTTATCAGCCGCGCGTCGCTATAGGTGATGGGCACAGTTGATGTTTGCCCGCGTCCGCGTCTCGCTTGGCGCGGTTCTCCCACTACGTTGTTTATACTAATCCTCCTTGCGCCAGACGCTAGTGTCAGTGTTTCCCCAGTCTTCTTTTGTCGAACGGCAAAATGAAAATGGCGGAGGTGATAAACAAAACAAATTTAGCATTGTGCAATCCAGTAAATTTTGATGAATTTTGAAGTTTTCCAATATGTTTTTGTATCCACGAAATAGTTCACTGTTTTCCCAAAACATGCAGCAAGTCAGTGACGGCTCGTCAGGGACGGCAGGGTCGGCCGGGCCGTACCAAATAATTTGGGGAAAATTACTGAACTATTTATTGATGAATAAAATTATTTTCCGAAACTGTTTTCATAATTCATCGCTCATTATCCTACTGTTATGCCACTATTATTTGAATTTCATTCCTGGAACCTTTGAGTATGCCATCCGCATATACACCGAAAATCACGAACTAATTCAGGACCTACGACATCTGGTAATCCCATCGTCAAAACGCCGCTTTCAGTTGAAACGCTCGCGTAGCTCATTACACTGATGCAGACGGCCGGCCGATCGGTGATTTCTTGTCTCGACGCATCGCCACAGGCATCGCCTACAGATTCCCCGCTTCAAGTTTAAATTTTCGCTTATACGCGTCATACCTTGGGTGCGGCCAAGCTCTGCTGGCCGTCCAACGTATCGATCGTGCTTATCAGAGTATCAGTTGTTTGCAGTGCGCTCGCTGTGCACCGTATCGAACCATTCCGACCTAATTTTTAATATACGGATTGGCATGATTGACATTCTATTTTCATTTTACATTGTAGGTATTTATAATTTTAATTCCTATACTTATTTGTAAGTTGATGTTGGAATTTGAAATGTACAAACTGAAAAGAAAAATAATTTCCATGTTTTTGTTTACGCTTGCAGTAGTTGCAGTAAAAATGACTGGTGATTTTTGAATTTGCAATTTTTCAGTAATTCATAATTCAACATATCCATCTAATATTGGTATCAGAATTTTCCTTCAGTGCTTCTGAGCGTCAATAAGTTATAATTCAATTTGAATATTGCTGTAATGTAACCTACTGTGCCTCTGCCTATGTAGGTAATATGGCAAGAAAAATGTCAGCAGTCCAAGAGCTGAGTAGGTATTGAAACATCGTAAAAAAGCTCTGGTGACGAAAATGTAATAAATGTATAACTTCCAGAATATCATTTATTTTCAAAGACGCATGTAGCGGTTATAAACTACCTAAATAATATTTATGCATCCATCGCATCGCGGGAAACATTATACCTACGGCTACACCCTGCACGCGGGCTCGGCCAGCCGACTACGAAGGAGTGGGGTCAGTGGGGTGGCTTGTTACAGGAACGGCGTAGACCGATTAGTCATTGTTGTGCTTCTCGCGTTAGGTGAGTGGTTGTCGGTTATGTTGATTTTTTTGAGTTTACATTACGTTTTCAACAGAATATAAATATTTTTTGTTCACGAGTTATTTTATTCTTATTTTCTTTCATTTTATTTTTTCGACTTTCTTGTTATTATTTTTTCATACCAACTAACCCTTATCCACCTCCTTTTTCTTTCCCCATTTCCCCTGGCGAGAATGCTCTAACCTCGTGGTTCTTGCTGGACAACTTAATTTTTTGGTTATGTGTACAGGGTGATTCACCATAAATGTCCCCCCCTCTAGCTCAATTATTTTTAAACCGATTTCAAAATTTGAAATATCATCTTGAATGATTTTTGATTGAGTTTTTTTCCGCTACATCAGAAAATACAGGGTGCTCAGAACAAACGATCTACAGGGTACCATTTGATTTTTTTATATGAAACACCCTATTTTTCATTGTATTTTTAGATTCTCCCTGAAAAGCTGATTTGCTCAATGTATGACACTTGGGGTCTATCGGGAATGATTACAGAGATATAGGGTGTTCAAAATCGAGATTTTTCAACTTTAGGATTTTTTTGAGACGAAACTATTCATCATCGGTCAAAACGGCTTTCATGTCCATATCTCAACTTTTGATTTACTATCTACTGACATTTAATAATTGGAACAGATACAGGGTGATCAGAATTCTGAATCTTGAACCACCCTGTAAATGTTCCAATCAAATCTCAATAGACAGTTAATCAAAAATTAAGATGGAAACATAGGAGCCGTTTCGACCAATAATGAATAGTTTCGAGACAAAAAAATCCTAAACTTGAAAAATCTCGATTTTGAACACCCTATATCTCTGTTATCATTCCCGCTAGACCCCAAGTGTGATGCATTGATGAAATCAGCTCTTCAGGAAGAATCTAAAAATACAATGAAATACAGGGTGTTCGATTTGGAAAAATCGAGTAGTACCCTGTAGATCATTTGTTCCGAGCACCCTGTATTTCCTGATGCAACGGGAAAAAAAATTCTGAGAAATCATTTTAGATCATCCTTCAAATTTTTGAATCGGGTCAAAAATAAGTGAGCTAGAGGGAGAAAGGACAATTATGGTGAATCACCCTGTACATGCTTATTTGCCATCGAACTTCACTCAAGCCGCTGACCCACTTACGTTCGCATTTTAGAG